GGCAGAATTAAAAATTCATCATTTGACACAAGGCATCCAATATTACTGCCGTCCAGCAACATATTTACAAAAATATTATTCGAGCGAGAGCACCGTAGATTGTTACACGCGGGTCCACAAGCATTGTTGTACGCAATTCGAGAAAAATATTGGCCTATTAACGGAAAAAGTATAGCACGAAAACTGTACACGAATGTGTAAACTGCTTCCGAAATAATCCGAGAACAATGTCTCAGATAATGGGACAGCTGCCAACAAACAGAGTTGTATTAAAGCGTCCATTTTTTGTAACGGGTATAGACTTCGCGGGGCCCATTGTGACGCTAGTTAATCGAGGCCGCGGTAGGAAAACAAACAAATCGTATATATCGCTATTTGTTTGTTTTGCAACAAAAGCAATACATCTCGAGGCGGTCAGCGATCTCAGCGCAAGCGCATTTATAGCTGCGCTTAAACGTTTCGTAGGGCGTAGAGGTTGTCCACAGCGTATATTTTGCGATAATGCGACTAATTTCGTAGGAGCACGAAATGAGCTTCACGATATACAACAAATGATCAAAGAAAATAGTAAGGATATGATCGACGAATTTTGTACTCCGAACAGTATCGAGTGGAAATTTATTCCACCGTCGGCGCCTTACATGAATGGCCTGTGGGAGGCAGGCGTAAAATCTTGCAAGTTTTACTTAAAACGAGTTATCGGTCAAAATCTGTTAACCTTTGAAGAGTTAACTACGGTTCTAATACAGATTGAAGCATGTTTAAATTCACGGCCAATCTGCCAATTACCATCTACTCCCACAGATTTGCTACCATTGACACCGGGTCATTTCATTATTGGCGAAACACTAACGAGCACTCCAGAATTAGATGTAACCGACGTACCGGTTAACAGACTCGATCGTTGACAATTAACTCAAAGAATCGCGCAGGAGTTTTGGCATCGTTGGCATAGGGAATACCTTACGTCCTTGCAAGAAAAGACTAAGTGGAAATCCGAAAAGACAAATTTAACTATCGACGACATAGTTTTGATACAAGACAATAACACGCCGCCGTTAAAATGGAAGGTAGGCCGAGTAATTGAGATTCACGCAGGCACCGACGGAAAGGTACGCGTTGTTACGCTTAAAACGGCAAGCGGAAATTGTAAAAGAGCGATAAATAAACTTTGTAAACTTCCGTCGACTGACTCACAATAACATGTTGTATGAGATAAAAATTAATTGACATTAATTGGTGGGCGGGATGTACAGTATTAGAACGATAAAGGATCGATCATCGAGATTTTAAAAATCAATGTAAAGCAGGAGCGTTAGCGCGCGTCTGTTGTGATGAGTGGGAGGACTCCTTAGCGGGGAGAGAGGAATAAAAGCGAAGGACCGACGTGGCAACGCTCTCTATTCTGCTCCGTTTGTCAGTATTGGTAATTCGTTCTAAAACACATTATATATTTAACTCGATTAATTTTGACAAAGGAAACCAAAAGGGTTCCCAGTATTGTAAATTAAATAGCAAAATAAATTAAATACAGTTTACTCATAATTAAGTCATTTTTTACGGACAATTCGTGTAAACGGGCACGTACAAATTCCTTAGTTTCCAAATTTTCTTTCTTAATTGTTGCAATAACATCGCGTTTGGCTCTATTGGCCAAGATGAAGGAGGTGTATATTGTGTTTTTAAAATCAAAATATTGCATTGTTTGAATTTATTTAATAATTTTAATACAAAATATAAGCTCAAAAGTAATAATACCTATAATTCTATAGAGATTTATTTGTAGAATCCATGATAAAAAAAGTCATGAAACGCGTGAAGTTTGTGTTTTGAGTCGTGTGTATTATTGCCTCTTTTCCGCGTGTCTGATTGGTAGTCGAGTTGCGCAAGGAGTCTCGCGATATATACGTGATAAATAAATTAAAATATCATTAATGGCGCGCGCGAAGCGCGCGCTTGTGTTGCTAGTCCTTTCTTTAAAAAAAGCATGAAGTCGATTCTCGAATGTATCGGTTTATCTCGAAAATTTCGAAGTATGGTTGCCTCTTTTTCGCGATGCCGATTGCTTCCGTCATAGCGTTTGCTTTGTGAGCGGCTGTCATTGCATATTTTGACAGTTGTGTGTATCAAAGGGTTAGTGTAGTGATAATAATGTATATTAAAAGATTTGGTGTATATAATAGTAAAAATCTGATAAATGTTTATTAATTTTGTGGTTGAATGATTTCGACTTCACTTTCCCAGTTAAAAAGGGAAATAGAAATTCGGTGAATTAAAATTATGTATATATAGAAATTCAATTAATTAATACATAATAGAAATGCAACAAATTAAAATTATTTACACAATAGAAATTTGACGAATTAAAATTATATACATAATAAAAATAAAGAATTAATTTTATTAAATTTATTACATTCGTGAAAAAAAACGACCAATACTAAACTACAAAAATTTTTTCTTTATTTATTTAATTCATGATGTTTTGACCTGTGGTTTAGGTCTTTCAAATAATTCTGAAATTATAAATACAACAAATGCAATTACATCAATTATACGAGATTAATCACTACTGATACGCAAAAAATAAAAAATAAAATTGAAATTAAACTGGGAAAATCCGAATATTTTACATAACAAAAGATATACAAAAAAGAGAGAAGTAGCAGAAATGTTTTTTATAAAAAGGTTAACAATGCATTAAACGCTCAAAAAGATACAGACAATCTAAATGTTATTTATGATAAGATCATTAGAATTGTTTAAAAATTAATATTGTACTGACGAATTGCTTACATACCAACGAGATGTCCTAAAAGACACAAGTTTTAATATATAGTGACTGACATGTTTTTTAAAAAATTAACACCACTTTAATTATATTGACATCTTAAAAGAACTGTAAGTTTTTAATTTTAATTTCAATTTTTCTTTTTTGCATATCAATAGTGATTGATCTCTTATAATTGATGTAATTGCATTTGTTGTATTTTTAATTTCAGAATCATTTGATAAAGATTCTAAACCACAGGTCGAAACGTCATGAATTAAATAAATAAAGAAAAATTTTTATAGTCCAGTATTGGTCGTGTTTTTCACGAATGTAATAAGTTTAATTTAATTCTTACTGGCAATTAATCAATTAACAAAGACATCAAAATAATTAATTTACGTACAAAATAAAAGTTCGACGAATTTCTATTATGTACATATATGTATCATAGAAATTCAGCAAATTTCTATTATATATAACAGAAATTCAGCAAATTTCTATTATATACATAATTTTAATTTGTCGAATTTTTATTTTGTACATGAAATTAATTTTCCATGTTTATTATGAACATAATTTTGATTCGAATTCCTATTATGTACTTGATTTTAATTCGCCGAATTTATATCACTAGATAACACAAGCGCGCGCTTCGCGCGCACCATTAATTTTATATGTTTTAATTTAATATTATTTAGAACAATTGTCAAACTATTAACCTTTGCAATGACTGTTTGCTATGAATATAACACAATGCGAATTGAGACAACCAATCAGCAACGCGGAAAAGCGGAAACAATACATGCGAGAATCGACTTTGCATGCCTTTTTTACAACAGAGAATGCACATAATTTTAATTTTTGAATTTCCATTATATATGTACGTAATTTCGATTCGCCGAATTTCTATTTCCCTTATGTGCATAATTATTATTGACCTTCTATATGTACTATATGTAATTATAATTCTCGAATTTTTATTATATACATAATTGTAATTCTATATTTTCACTATGTATATGTTTTAATTCGCCGAATTCCACAATGTACATAATTTTAATTCGCCGAATTTCTATTATGAACATAATTTTAATTCGCAGAATTTTTATAATGTACATAATTTTAATTCCCGCATTTCTATTATATACGCAATTTTTATTTATTGTATTTTATTATTCGTAAATTTCTATTATGTTTATAATTTTAAATCCCGAATTTCTATTATGTACATAATTTTAATTCCCGAATTTCTATTATGTACCTAATCTTAATTTATTGAATTTCTAATTTCTATTATGTATATAATTTTCATTCGCCGTATTTTTTTTATGTAAATAATTTTAATTTGCCTAATTTATATTATATATATAATTTTCATTTGTCGTATTTCTTTTATGAAAATAATTTGAATTCTTTGAATTTCTATTATGTACATATAATTTTATTCTTGAATTTTTATTGTGTACATAATTTTATTCTTGAATTTTATTGTGTACATTTTAATTCTGGAATTTCCATTGTGTTTTAAATTTTAATTTGCCAAATTTCTACTATGTACAATACATAAGAATTCTTGAATTTCTATTATGTTATAATTCCAATTTGCCGAATTTCTATTATGTACATAAATTCAATTAACCGAATTTCTATTAGGTACAATTTAAGTTATTTACATAATAAAAATACGGCAAATTAAAATTATACACATAATAGAAATTTAAGAATTAAAATTATAAACATAATGTAAAATCAAAAATTAAAATTATTTATATAAAAGAAATACGACGAATTAAAATAATGTTTGTAATAAAAATTAGGCGAATTAAAATTATGTGTGTATGTAACAAAAATTCAAGAATTAAAATTATGTACATAATTGAAATTCGGCGAATTAAAATTATGTACATACACTATCGGAGAAGAAATTCGTTTAACGCGCGCGCAAAGCGGTTATCTATGTTGATAAAAATTTTTTTCATTATTTTGATGTGTATCCACCTTTAAAACAGATACTCTTTCTTACATTCTGTATATGTTATTAATTAATTATTTATATATGTTATGATAACATATACAAATAACTTAATATAATAACATATACAGAACTTATGTGTTAAGTTATTTTCTTACTATTAGAATAATTTTATGTAATCTTTAAGTAATACTGTGGGAAGAGAAAAGAGGAAAATCTAAATTATTGAATATGCAAAAAGTAAAACTGTTTTACCTTATTTAATTTGCTATTAGAATTAAATGATTGCAGAATCAAATTTGTACCCTGAGAGTACAATATAGTTAAACAGTCAGGACTCCAGCTTGATGTTAATATGGGAAGCGATTTGCTTTCACCATATAATGTAGATCGGAGCATACCACTTCGAGACCAGATCTTGATCAATCCATCTTCACCAGCTGTAATTAAAATTGTTCTAAATAATGAATTTTTTAAGACACAATATGATGACATACCAGTCAAAAATGCAGAACCGTCATTATTCCATGTTCCTACTGTTGTTGCCCCTTTATGTGCATCTACACTTTTTTCAATGCGACCATTTCTGTTGACTAAGTGATATTTACCTAAAAAAATTAACATTATTCTAATAATATTGTTTTAAAAATTTGTTTGATCTGTTCAACATAACTTTTATAATTGGTCAAACTTCTAGTTAAAAAAATATTTATTGAATCACAAACTTATATAATTTTTTTTATTTCTTATATTGTTAATTGTTCCGGAACCGTTGAATATACTTGAGAGTCTCCGCAAAACGTTGAATGTCGCGCGATCGGACATATTGAGAACCGTCAATCGTCGCATTAGCGAATCACAAATTTCCACGCGAACGAGGCATCGCGCGTAGCCGATCCTTCTCACGCCTCATTGTAATTCGCATTTGCGGTCCTTTTTCGCCAACTCGAGTGCGCGGTGTATCAATTATGATCTGTCGCGCACCCCCGTTTCTGCCTATCTGAGTCGCTAATATCCTTCTCCTTCTTCCGTTCCTTCTTCTTGTTCCGGCTCTTGGTGGATCAACACGTTATCAAGTGACCGAAAAATAGTAATCCGCGTTGTTAAAAATTAATCCGTCGAGTTACGAAAGTGATTCATTTTCGTCGGTCATCGGCAATATTTGTAGAGTATCGTGCACGCGATATTTTCAATTAATTCAGTTCATTTTGTAAAATACACGCATATTTCGGCTGTAATTACGACCGCACGTATCACCACGTGCTTCGACATTATAGCGTTACGGAGACTCTCAAAGACCTCGATCTCGCGAACGGTGCATCGCGCATCCGCGTTCGGCTCTTGATCGCTGCGATTTTTCGTACAAACTGTCGCGAGAAGATTTCCATCGCGTTCGGAACTACAGCATAGTTCTGCCCAAGATTTCCGTCGCGTACGCGCGCAGCAAGTACGATCAAGCACAAGATGTCCGTACATTCTCGTTGAACTTATTTTCCACCGTTCGTCGAGTGTGCCTAATTATTACTTGAGAACTGTAGTTGTTTGTGAAAAGCCGAATAAACTTTATATAAACTATATCTCCGCTGTTAACAGTCAATCCCCTCTTCCCTCTATTCCCGATCAAAATTATTTTATCAGTGCAATCCGCAACATTAATTTACAAACGTTTTTATAATTTAGCACATTATACTTATGTAATATGTAATATGTAATATTTTCTATTTTAACTATAAATATTTTATTTAAAATTTTCAATTTTAAAAATATTATGTAATAAATATTATAACGTAATAAATTTATCGATTTTTGAGTACACGATAAATATAAAAAGATCATCAATAACATTAAAAATAACATAATATTTTTATTTAAAACTTGATAATTTTTATTTTTAAGAAAAATTTCATATAGAATATAAATATGATGTTTTCTAAATCGGCCAACAGAGTCAAAGCACGAAAAATTAATTATTCGGAACTGTATCTCTTGGTTTGAGATCACAAAGTTCCATATATAAATTAATCTCGAAACTTACATATGAAGAAATAGGCGCGAAAAATATAATTTTCCTATATTTTTCGCGCCTATTTCTCCATATGTAAGTTTCGAGATTAATTTATATATGGAACTTTGTGATCTCAAACCAAGAGATACAGTTCCGAATAATTAATTTTTCGTGCTTTGACTCTGTTGGCCGATTTAGAAAACATCATATTTATATTCTATATGAAATTTTTCTTAAAAATAAAAATTATCAAGTTTTAAATAAAAATATTATGTTATTTACTTTTTTTTCGCGCCTATTTCTCCATATGTAAGTTTCGAGATTAATTTATATATGGAACTTTGTGATCTCAAACCAAGAGATACAGTTCCGAATAATTAATTTTTCGTGCTTTGGCTTTGTTGGCCGATTTAGAAAACAACATATTTATATCCTTTATATTGAGAGCCAATAAAAATATTTATTTCAAAATTACATATGATGTAATGCTTAATATTTTTAATTTTTTAATATATAAAAATATCTATATTAATTATAATTTGTAGGTATTTATATTTAATAATAATAGGTTATGCGGGATAGAAGATGAAACATGGGAGCATGTGATAGGAGAATGTGGGGGAGAAGGGGGGAAGGGAAACTGGTGGGAAAGAATGAAGGAAATACTGCAGGAAGGAGGAGAAGGGGAAGGATGGATGAGAGAAATAGAGAAAAAGAGGGAAGAGGGGAGAACGGAAGAAAGGAGGGAAGGAGGGGAAAAGGAGGAAGGAAGTATGAGGAGGAGAATGAGTGAGGTATGAATGAGGTGGTGGAGAATGTATGGGGAATCGGAAGCCGAAGCGAAGCGATAGGTAGGGACGGCTCTTTCTCTCTCTAAAGTAGTAGATAAGTAGGTTAAGGTAGAATTAAGTTATTTGTAAATTAGATGTAAGAGTAGAGTTAAGAGTAGATATAAGTAAGATTGTAAGAGTTTGTAAGGTTGGGGAACGCTCCTTCAAAAGCGCCTTCAATCCCTTAGGGGACGAATAAAGAATTGAAATTGAATATTTAATAATAATGCGATATTGACAATTAAAGCCATATTCAAGAAAATAATTCACAAATCATAAACATAAATTTAAAATATATATAACAAAATAACCATATCGTCTCTTAATTGCAAATAGATTAAATTGAGTAAAAGTCTTCTATCGTGTTGCAATCTTTAATAATTAATGAAAAATTAATTTTAAAATTTCGATCAATCCACGAGTATAAACATGCAGCAAGAACAAATATCCTACTGTGTTGCTAAATGTAATACATAATTAAATACTTCATTATTTATCTATTAATCCCAACATTTTCATTTTGTAATCTTTGTGTGAGAGGTGATTATTACTAGATATTCTATACATAGCATACATGCACGCACGTACACGCGTATGTATGTACAGGGTAAGGAAAAAGTATGGGATTAGTAAAATATCTTGAAAGAAATGGGATTTAGAAAAAAATGTAAATACAGGGTGTACCATAGGAAAATGAAACTAATCATTTGTCATTTTTTAATGCATGCAGTTATTGAGAAAACAAAAATTGTATTAAAAAGAGAAAATTTTGCAGTTTTAATGGATATAAATAAAATGTTTGTATATCAATTTATTTTATTAATAAAAATTCATAAAAGTACTAATAATCACACATGTAAACTAATGATAAATATTTTTTAAGTACGCATCATTTAAATTTGTACAAAAATTCTATTTTTTGACGAAAACTCGTAAAAACTTTTTCTAACAAGTTATTTTTAATGTTATTGATAATCCTTTTAATAGCTGCTATTAAATCTAGCACTGTTGAAAATATTTATGTGATTTTATGCGATTATTAGACTTACACTTTATTCATTACTTTTTATTAATAAAATAAATTGATATGTACAATTATTTTATTTATAATAAGAAGTTATGGTTGAGTTCGACACACTGGCAATAATAAATAGATGTTAATTTATTTACGTTTTAACCATACGGGTTGTGGTCCTTCTCAAAATTACAATAGGTACTCTTAAGGAGTTATATTTACCTGTGAAGAAAAAAACTAGCATTTTTAGGAATTTTTTTAACTGAAAGATTTTTTAAAATAAATGATTAATTATTCGAATGTATATTTTAAGAGATTCTATAGTATTTTTTTATTACAAAATATTAAAAAACAAAAAAAATATCAATGAGAGCATTTTCTTGTAAGTTTTTTGCGGTGACCACTGTAGCTTTGAACTCGTTCTTCTGAAATGAAAAAATCGAGCAAATTTAGTTAGTATATTAGTTTATCTAGTGCCCGATCGTTGCTTTTTATTTTTCGTTGCGTAGTTTTTTTTTACAGATAAAAATGAACGATTTTTTTGTCGAAAATTGATACTTTAACTTTAAACCCCCATTTTTATCCAAATTAATTTTTTGAAATAATGATCGATTGAGCACTAGATAAACTAATATACTAACTAAATTTACTCGAATTTATCAATTTAGATAAACGAGCTCAAAGCTACAGTAGTCACCGCAAAAGAACTTACAAAAAATGCTTTCGGGGAGATCGCTGATATCTTTTTTGTTTTTTTATATTTTGTAATAAAAAAATACTATAAAATCTTCAAAATGTATACATTTGAATGATTAATCATTTATTTTTAAAAATCTTTTAGTTTAAAAAAATTTTTTAAATTACATGTTTTTTTCGACTATACAGGTAGGTATAACCCCTTAACAATCATATATACATGTACCTAGAAAGTCAATACAAAAATTAAAAAATATATATACGTAGAATAAAAAAACATAATAAGAATACTTACAAAAAGAAAGAAAAAAGTTACATTACATTCACTTTATTCATTGAAAGTTATTCATTGAATATGTTATAATTTGGTCGTTATTTAAAAGAAAAGATAAATGATAAGACAAAACATGATAAACCATACGCACAATTTAAATTCAATAAACGTGATTATACATTTGAGGCCACGTCGATAAAACACTTCGTATATATACCTGTAGTCATACAGTGTATAATTTAAAAACAAACAATCATATGTTGTATTAAATTTTTCCGTATTCTTTTGCAAATTTATCGTTGTGTTCAATTTTTTAATATAATACATTTTAACATTTTATTTATATCAAGTAAAAACTGCACTTTCCTCTTTTCAACACAATTTTTGTTCAATAACTGCATGCATTAAAATGATAGCATTAGTTTTAACATTTTTCTGGCACACTGTACGAAAGTAGTAGAATTCAAAATGGGGCACTTTATGGTGACATTGACCTTGATCTAAAGTTCAAATTTAAGGGTCATTTTAAGGTCACTTTATTATTTTATTTTTAAATAAAACCACGATATTTTTTTTACATAAATCGATTCCTCAATATTCTGCACAAAAAGTTATAAAGGTAACATGATCCAAAAATGATGAACAAGTTTATGATATATTCAATATTTTTTAGTTTAATATAATCTTACATAGTATATAAATTATCTCGTAAAATATTCATTTTCCGATCATTTCACCTTCATACTTTTATGTACAAATTAATAAGAGGAATTGATTAGTGTAAAGAAAACACTTATTGTTAATTGTTCCTAAATAAATGTAATTATTAGTTGTAAATTACATAATTTTTTTAAACAACTGTATTTTATTACACCAATCGATTTTTACATTATTTTGTTTATAAAAATATAAGTTTTTATTTAAGGTAAGTTTATCAAAGTAAGATCATCAAAAAATGAATATTTCACGAGATATTTTATAATTTATGTAAATTAAAGTATAAAATGAATTATATTAAATTAAAGTAAAAAATATCTCGTAAACAATTTATCTTCTAACTATTCCACCCTTATAACTTTTTATACAGATAATATTGCGAGAAATCGATTTATGTAAAAAAATATAATTCCATTGAAAAAAATTAAGTTGATCTTGAAATGATCTCTAGGTCAAGATTAATATCACCATCAAGTTCCCTATTTTGAATCTTAGTATTTTTATATTTAACATTTTTTTCTATATCTCACTCTTTCCAAGATATTTTATTAATCTCATACGTTTTTCTTACACTTTATATATGCATGTGCATACATATGTGTGTATGTATACAATATACGTGCTAATAACCGCATGATTTTTCAGGTGTAGGTAGAGCACGTGAAATTAAATAGAACAATCCTCTACTGTTTTGCGTAATAACACAAACCTGCATAATTTTACATTTTTATCTACAATTTGAATAAAAAATCATTTTTATAGCTTTTGTACATTGAATCCAAATCTACAAGAAAATATGGTCTATAACGTAAGGTTTTTGAAAAAATGGTGTGACACCCTGAAACACAACATTTTATTATTTTTACAAATTCATAGCAAACAAACCCAAGAAACTTTAGAAAATGCTAGAATAAAAGTTTGAACATTGTACTTTAATATTTAATATGAAAATATTGAATTGTTTACAAGTACCATCAAATTTTAGGCATACTTTGTTTAGAGTGTAATCGCACTGTATCAAGTAAAAGTGATTTCCCTATGTAGGGAAATCACTTTTACTTGATACAGTGCGATTACACTCTAAACAAAGTATGTCCGACTGCAGGGCCATTGCTAATAGTAAAAAATTTAATAGTGAATTTAATAAATGAAAATAAAAGATTAAATATTTGGTAAAAAATTATTTAATATGTATATGTAAAATTATTTAATATGTATAAACAATTATTGCTTAAACAATAAAAAGAATATTTTTTAAAAAACTTACATTTTAATTTTGTGTATTAAACCTATGATTAAAATTGTTACTATTCGTAACAAACTGCATGTGATAAATTATTCTACTTGATACTGTGCGATCTCAAATCTAAAAACAAAGCACTCTTGAGATTTGATGGTATTTGCAGTAAAAGATTTGATATTTTTATATTAAACTACAATGTTCAAACTTTTATTTGAGCACTTTTCTCTTGTACATTGGCTTTATTTGTTAAAAATTCTTAAAAAGGCTTTTTGAAATCTCATTTTTCGCAAAAACACGAATTGATAGACCATTTTAGCTTGTGGATCTGCATAAAAGCTATAAAAAACTACTCTTCTTTTCCAGACCGCAAAATCATGACTATTATTATTAATGTTATTAATGTTATTCAAATATGTATAATATTTTGTAATTTTATTATTAAAAGTTGTTGTTAATATTCGAAGAATAATCTCTTAAATTACAAAAAATAATTTACAATAATTTATAGAGGAGACCGAGAACAAAAGTAACAACGTCAAGAAAGTAACCAGTCTTCTAGTTCACACAATGTATTGAATAATTAGTAGTATATATCCTAATTTTCTTGCGTCGTCTTTAGATTATGATGCTTTTATTTCAAAATATGTGTCGGAGAACAAAAGTAACACGGTATTTGCATCATAAAATATTCTTAAATAAAACTAATTCGGAGCAGATATCGATATCTTGATTTTTTTTTATATAAGTAGGTAAATTTATATAGAATTGAAAAAATATAAAACTGCTGTGATTTTAATTATAATTATTTTGTTACTCAATAAAGATTATTTAAGTATTTTAAAGAAGATACAAATAATTGTTTTATTTTTTATTTTTATAATAAAAAGTATCTAATATTTTTAAAAAATCATATTTTTTTTTATTTTCTAAAATAAGAATTAATGTTTTTATTTTTATACTATGTTATTTTCATCCTGGGCCGCCAGGATGAAAGTAACAATAATAGCTTTTCAAATATGTACCATTCAAAGATGAAACATTAGATATAATAAAAGAACAATAAAAGGAGTTTCTTAAGATATAATCTTTTTTTTTATATATCTTTAAAGGGGGGGAATTGATAACTGATTTATAATGCAAAAAATGTTACTTTTATTTCTGATCTCCGCTATATATAAAAATGTAATTTTTACTTTAATATATGTAGATATTATAAGAAAAGATAATTAAGTTGAATAATATTATACATTTTAAAATAAATAATATACCATCTGCAGTAGTTATTAATAATGCATCCAAAGATAATTTCTTAGCGATAGAAATATGATTAGGACGTGGATTCCATTGCATATCCGTAGGATAAAATCATTTGGAAATTCAGCCACAATAGTAGAATGTGCAATGCCACCTTCTAAATGCCAACATATTAGTAAGTGATCTTCTCTGAAACAAATAATTTTATAGTTTTTTAGTTAGTTTTGATTTTATATACGTGTAAAAAAAAAATAAGAAACAAAAACATTCAGAAAAAGATCAAAATATTAATTTTATTTTAAAAATATAAATAAAGCAACAATTTAAAAATTTATATTAAAATATGTATACAGGCTGGAGCACTTTTAACACAAAACATTGAATATCTTCGTTACATTTGAGCATACAAAAAAAACAATAAATAAAAATCAATAAATTTAATATACAGTATATAATAAAAAATAAAATTCGGCTCGTGTAAAATTAAAATAAGTTATAAATTAAAAGGCCAATTTAACGAGCTAATTAATTAAGTGTTAACAATTTATTCTACGTCATGAAAATAATACAAATGATAATTAGTAAACAATATCATAGACAACAATAACATATCATAGACAAATACCACGAAAGACTGAAATTCACAGTTGAAAGAGAAGAGAATCGTAACATTAGTTTCCTTGACATTTCTATTAATGTGATTGAGGATGCGATATATGTAGATTGATTCCATAAAAAAACTTTTTCAGGTAGATTTTTATTTTTTTATTCCAACTATCCGATGTGCCACAAATTAGGCACTATTTATAATTTAGTGGACAGAGCACTACTATTGTCGCATTCTCGATTCCATGATAAAAATTTGTTACTATGTAATACAGTTATAAATGTTTTGTTATCAAATGGCTACTCTCTTGCTCTTATTTTTAATGAAATAAATCGCAGGATTAAGAATCTTATTGGCAGCAAATTAAATATAACTGATAAAGAAAATAAAAAGGGTCCTCACGATAACAAAGATAAAATAACAAATTTGTTGCAATTCCATATGTAGAATCCATCTCCAAAAAAATATCAACTAATATTAAAAAATCGGATGTAAATGTAGGATATCGTGTCTTGAAAAATCTAAATAATTGGATTAAAACACATAAAGACAAGAATGATGACTCCAGCAATTCAAATGTTGTGTATAAAATCAATTGCAGAGACTGTGACGCAACTTATATTAGACAAACAAAAGACAATTACGTACCAGACTTAACGAACATAAAAACAATTTTAAATTAGACTCTGCAAGACATTCGGTAATTTCTGAACATATTTTAAATAATAAGTACACTTTTGACTGGGAAGGGACTGAAATATTAGATCATGAAATCAACTATAATAAAAGACTTATTTCTAAAATGTTATATATAAAAGAACATAAAAATAGTATAAATTTAAAGAAACACATCGAATCTTTTGAAAGCTGTTATTTTGACATTTTAGAAAAATTATCTGACACATTTTTTTAATAAAAAAAAAAAGAAATTAATCTTTAACTATTGACAACACTATTGACTATATAAACAGGCTAGGATATAATAATGACACATATTATTCCTTGATATTGCTGAATCGCAACAACCAACGCATAACATCAATATGTAAGTTATTGCTAATTTATATTTTTCGGAGTGTTCTTCATTGGAATCCTTTTAATATATCTATTTTGTGGGAAAAAGAGCTTGAATAAATGGGACTCATCTCGTGAAGATGCCAGAACAGATTGTTCACGCTGTCCAACGACAAATTTGGACTCCGTGTATTTATTCGAGAGATGGTCTTAAACATAAGACATCTAAGAATAATTGTTTCAACCATTGTAATTAAATCGAATGATAATCGAAGTTTCGTCTTTACATAGCTTGCGAGATTATGTTTAAATTTCTCTATTATATTTTATAATTTTATACTTGCGGTTGATTGTATTGATAAAGACCTAGTAAGGTCGAAACGTCTACATTTATATTATGAATAAATAATTTTTAATTATCTTTACATTTAAATTATTTTGGCTCGTTTATTTGGCCTACTTTTTATGTATTATTAACATTAAACATAAAATGTACTTTTTATTTATGATATGTGGATGGCATATTATTAGCTGCAACTGCTAATAACATGACTCTGATTATTAATAGTTTTAATAAATATCACGAGAGAATGAATTTCACAGTGGAACAGGAGGTAAACCGTAGCTTAAATTTTTTAGATTTAAGGGGATGCCGGAGGTATATTTTTACCGACCGAATGCGAACCCAGCAAACACAGTATATAAATGTTATATACTTAAGCATGTTACATGTAACGTATATGTTAGTTGTAATTTCGCACTCATAGATGTAACATTTTTAATATTACATATATTACATTGTAGTTATATTGTCATTATATCCCAAGATAGCACTGACTTATCAATACATCAATGTGCTATTTGGTATATAATTACAATAAAACTACAATGTAATATATGTTATATTAAAATGTTACATCTATGAGTGGAAATTACAACTAACATGGATGTTACATGTAACGTACACGTTATATTACCTGTTATATTCCGTATTATTATAGCAATGTAACAATTATATATCGGTGTTGCTGGGAATATTTAGTTTTTTTTAAATAACTTTTTATTGACTATACTGATCAATAAATCCTTTTCCACGATCTAAGTACTTATAAAAACGGACCGCGTTAGCTATGATTGTAAATATAAATCATATAAAAATAAAATTATAGTTTTGTTATCGACTTCTTTGTGTCAGTTCGTAACAATACTTATTTAATAAAAAAAGTTCTGCAGTTTGTCTCTGCATGAAATATAGTATACGCGGTAAGGATAATATGAAGAATTATTAGTAAACGATTAAAAGTGAGATTGCAAGTCTAATAAAACAGTTATACATTAAAAACATTTTCATGCATATGTGTTGTATACGTGCATATGTTTAGATATGTGTGGTGCTAACCTATCATGTATATATGTGTATACGTGCATATGTTTAGATATGTGCGGTGCTAATCTATCGGAGTTTGGCCGTCGCTCCGGCATAGGATATTTCTGGATTGGTATCAAAAAGAAACCTTTTCAGGAAGAATATTATCATTTTACTCCAATCATTTATAATGCCATAAAATTGGAGTAATTTTTAATTTAGTTGATAGATGTTTCTTACTATCACATCCACAATTTTTTAACAAAAATATAGAATTAATGATTAATATTTTACTAAGCAACAGTTATCCTCTTGACCTCATTTTTAACAAATAAATCATAAGGTGAAATTTCTTATTTCTAAAAATAGCATCACAAAAAAACAAATAAATAATGGACTAACACATATTACAGAAAAAGAAATAAAAACGAAAAATTATTTGTCATCCCGTATGTCAAAGACATCTCGGAAATGATTGTCTCTTCGGTAAAAATCTTGATCGTTTAGTGGGCTACAGATGTCTTAATAAACTAGACAAAATAATTAAGACACAAAAGGACAAAAGCGAACAGTCCTTGCATTCAAATGTTGTGTACAAGATTTGTTGCAAGGATTGCAACGCATCATACGTAGGCCAAACAAAAAGATAGTTGCATACTAATTGTAAGATGAAAGATCATAGGAATAATATTATATGGGATTCGACTAGACACTCGGTAATTTCTGAGCACATAAAAGAAAATCATACTATGGATTGGGAAAACGTAAAGATTCTAGATAGAGACTGTAATTATCATAAGAGTCTTGTCTCTGAAATGTTACATATTAAGGAACAAAAAAAAACGGCCTACATTCTAACAAAGATATCGAGTTGCTGAGCGAATCCTATTTTGATGTTTTAAACATGTTAACAAACAAACGATAGATAATGTACAAGACAAAAGGACATCAACAATTTATACATACGTAATCTCAATATATATAAACGCACTCAATTTTGTGATTTGACACAGTTTGGAGATAAGGTGTCTTACCATACAGTTAGTTATAACGTTTCCTCTAAAAAGCGTGAATTTAGTGATGAGGGACATTCAAGTAAGCCGAATAACATCGTAAGAATATCTTTTATAACATATAATCAATTATTAATTATGATTAACCACACACAGTGCATACCATGACATTCATAATTACTCGCTTACAAACGACGAAACTTCACGGGAATTATTTTATGTCTTAAGAGCGATCTCAACACAAAGGATTCATGGATGAGAAATCAAACATGATATGTTGTAAGACGCACAAATTTTTCAACATGATACTCAATCCGATTTTAACGAAACAGTAATAACCGTTAGGATATGATTTAAGAATTAAATTGTAATACTGAAGAAGACTGCATGCGGTCAAAAAGTCTATTTTTTATATTTTTTCATATTTATTTTATTGATGTATTTAATATTTTTTATATAGAATGTATTTTTCTAATTTAGACAATATTCATTGTATTATAAACTGAATAAATTATAGTTTATATAACATCTCATTTTATGCTCGACAAGTTGGCCATTTTAACTTATTTGATTGTTATTTGATTGAACAAGGGGAATTTCTGAGATCCCAACCATAGGATTCAAATTCCTCAGTTTCCAAAAATTTCTTATCTTAATTTGTCGCAATAACATCGCGTTTGGCTCTTAGTCGAGATGAATATGGAGTTTTTAAAACAATTGGAGAGCTGACTTACAAATATTCTATTAATATTTGTTGCGTTTGGACCAGGTACGACACCTTGGTGGGGGGGAGGGTTATAAACATTGAGAGAAATATTGATTTGTAAGTGTCTGAATAGCTCAGTTGGAAGAGCAGTTGCCCGGCAAGCGGAAGGTCTCGGGTTCGATTCCCGATTCAGCCGACTTTCGGACCAATATTTTTCTCGTCTTTTTCTTACAGGGGATGTTTAGAGAAGGAACAAGGGGAATTTCTGAGATCCCAACCATAGGATTCAAATTCCTCAGTTTCCAAAAATTTCTTATCTTAATTTGTCGCAATAACATCGCGTTTGGCTCTTAGTCGAGATGAATATGGAGTTTTTAAAACAATTGGAGAGCTGACTTACAAATATTCTTATTATTATTTGATTGTCTTAACAATATACAAGCGAACATTAATTTCATTTTAATTGTGTATATATTT